TTTTTAAAAGGGATGAAGTATGATAAAAGAATCCATTTGTTTCGATGAAGCCCAGTAGTCAGTGGACAAGCAGGTGCATGTCCTTTAGTGGAAAATCCCCACAAACCCTGTTGACCAGGCTTCTCATTCAGGCCTGACAGCCAAAGTCCTCGTCTTTAGACCTCTATTCATATGCATATTATAGCCAAAGGCATCAAAACTGGACCCACAAATCCTAAGATTGTAATCACTACTGCATGCTTTTATTCTGCATGCCTACATTTCATAATTTCCCACACAAGATGGTCTTGAACAAATGCACACTGACATTACCGCAGCAGAGTGCATTGACATCTTCTGAGAAATGCTTCGCAGCATATGTTCATATCATCACAAGAGGCGAATGCTTCACAAGCACATTGCACAGCTTGGAGTTGCAATGCTTGGCATTTAGCACTTTGCCATTTTTACTCTGAGAATGATGGATATGGAATATGAATGCTCAGTGACATGATGACCCAGCAAAATGTCTGCCATCAGCGTATCCCCCATCCCCCTTGCCCCACTCTTTTTGCTCACGCACACGCACGCGCACACACACACACACACACACACACACACACACACACAACCATTATCCCTAAAGTATAGATGTATTCATGTCAGCTGAAGCAAATCATGAAGTATGGAGCCACATAGCGACGGTTAACACTTTGTGCTGCATAGCAAGCCTGAATCACTAATCAAAAAGTTTAAAACAAAGGCTCCATTTCCATTCACACCAGATTTAATTAAAAGGTTTTAGTCCAGTGCTCAAGGCTACATTTCATAATTAATTCGGACTGCAATGGATTGTTTTCTCCATTTTGAAACAGTCAGATGACAGTTTCAAGAGAAGGCTTTAAAAAAAGAAAGCCCAATCAAATCATTAAAAGTGACTCCTCTCATAGCAAATTACTCACAGACTAAGTCGTGTGCAAGTGTTTAAGTTGGAGAGTTATAATCATGGCTTGGGGAAAAGGAGCCACAAAGAAGCTAAAGCAAGACAGGATATGAGCATTCAAGGGTCATGACAACATGTTGAATGTTTAACAGCTTCAAAGGAAGCCCTCGGTCAAGTGTTATCGTTCTTAAAAAGGGATCTCTGGTCTTTATTTCCCAGTCTAAGAAGTGTTATCAATTCAAATCATCAACTGAATGAAAACAGAGTGCTTTTCCTAACTTCTGTGTACACTGGTTTTGGTGGACTGGGACTTACAGTGAAACACGTGTTATTCAAACCAGAATTAGTATTGTTTATAGACACACTGGCACACTGTTCATGGTCTATGCAGTATGGTTCTGCCTTTTGAATCTACTCTCTCCCACAAACATGCTTTGAAGTGCATATCTCATATGTATTTGCAAACTGGAGGTAGGATAGATGTGATGGAGCTGGAATCCCCAGGATTCAATGAAAGGTATATTCGTGTGTCATCAACATACCAATGACAGGAGACATTGTGCTTGCAGGAGACAGAGTCTAAAGGATGTACATAAAGCAAATAAAATTGACCCTATGATAGGAGTCTGAGGTACAACCATAGACTGTATAAAAATATGTACATAGTCACCGTGACGTCACCCATCGGTTTCTGAGGAGCGGGTTTGAAGCTCAAAGTAGGCAGCTCTGGCCGTAGCCTTCTTGGCAGTGCCTGACTCCGCCCAACTCCCTGCCAATCAAAAATGGGCAAAGAGGCGGGCCAAATGAAGCCTGGTTGCTTAAACACGCCCACCTTGCAACAAAGCTGCTAAGTTAGCTAAGGCTAACAAGCTAGGCTAACAAGCTACGCTACTTTGGCTAGCCCTGTGGTGTTGGCTGCTCCCGCTCATGCTGCCGCTTGGTGCCAGCTCCCTCACGAAACAAAATATCCAAAAGGCACAAACATGGCTGAGAGGTCAGGTTCAATGACTTGCGAATTAGCTGAGATGAAGCCTAGCAGACAGCCAGCGGCTAGTTAGCCACCTGTGATGGCGCCAACTGTCACTCAAAGTGACCACGCCCTTAATTATGTGCAACTTTAAGCCTTAATAAAATTTAAGTACAGTTGTCATGAAAGGGGAAATTAGCTATAGAGACCAAAACCATTTTTTGTACCAGGCTGTAAACATGTTTATTTCTACTGTAAAGTTGAGCATTTTAACATGGGGGTCTATGGGGATTAACTCACTTTTGGAGCCTGCCTCAAATGGCCATTCAACAAACTGCAGTTTTTGGCACTTTTGCATTGGCTTCACTCGTCATCCCTGGGGGTTGCCGCTTGGGTACAACACAAGTGACAGGGGCAGTAGAGGAGGAGAGGCTGCCAATCTTAACAGAGAAAGTCCTGTCAGTTTAACTGGAGGCAAACCCCTTGAGGGCAGAGCACTGGAGGCCAACCAGTTCTTGAAGATGGTTTAATAAAATGCAATGATCAATAGTATCATAAGCGGCACTGAGGTCTAAAAGGACTTAAATGGCACATGTACCACAATCTAAAGATGATAGTTATCTTTTTGTCATCTATCTATCACCCCACAGGTAGTGAAAGTCAGCAGGTAATACTGACTGACCACTGTCGACCTCTTGCCCTGAAGCTTATAGCCAGAGACTGATACAGAAATCAGCATTATTCATTTGAGTGCTCCAATGTGGAGTGAAACTACCATTGTTTACTATCACTGTTAGACATCTAGCTATCAGAGGCACTTTAGTGCTGATGTCTAAAACATGTAGGTCCATTTCTTATTCGTCAAACAAACATCTGTTAGCATGCCACAGAGCATGTCAACGCGGTTGTAGCAGGCAATGAAAACAGGTAATGTACAGTCATCAACAATTTCAGTATCTGCCCATTAAATTGAAATTTTGACTTGTTAAATTTTAGCAATTTCAACAGATTCTGACTGACTATTAAAATAATATTTTCTTGTATCCTCATAAAAAGAAAAATAATGCCACAAAATTGTCAGAGAGAAAAGGCACTGCATACATTTGTCATGTCCATAAAACCACAATTATTTATCTGATTATGACATTGTTTAGAGCATTTTGTGTTATTATTAGATTTCAGTGATTGTAATTGTTGAAAAGAGCACTTGTCGGGTGTTGCTGATCAGTTCTGTTGAGGGTGCTGATTTTAATTTTATGAAGTAAAACAGCATCACCTCATCTGTAGGACTTGTCTGTAGCTGTTGTGTCATTGTTATTCATTGGCAGCAATTGTCTCGGATTCCATTGCTGTCAATCAAACGCAGCCTCCACAGCTCTTAAGTTGCTCAACCAGCCCGACAATCAGTGCAGCTATGTGGCCTGGTGGCTACTGGCAAGCCTTTTGTCTGATATAAAGGAGATAAAAATGAGGGAGTTGGTTAAACAAACAGGCAAATCACCTCTCGAGTAAAACAGCTTGAACACAAAAGGCTTGTCATCCCATTACAATAGCGTGAATTTAGAAAAAACAAAACAAAAAGAGGTGAGTCAAATCTTGTTGTGTGTCAACAGTTATGTATTGTGGCTGTCGACAGAATGCACATTCTGCAGCATGTAAGCTAATACTGCAGCCTTTTCTGTCACTTTTTGCTGCGAACAATACAGTTGAAAAATGACTCCCATCACAATTCAAACCTTCTCTCCCCTCAGCATTCAGAATATCTTGGGCTCATGAAGTGATTTGGTTCCCTGGCTGATCCTGGAGAAATATCTGTTTGGATCTCTTCTTTTTCCATCTCTGCAGCCTCTATTGTCTTCACTCTGTACTGAAAATGTTATTACATCGTTCGAATGATCATCCTGAGTATGTAATCATGTGCTGCTGTGGTTGATTATTCTCAATCTGTAACCTTTGCTTGAAACTGAGTGACCTGACCTGCTTTTTTCAGGAAAGCAACTGTTGAAGAAGTGCCCCTGGACAGTTTATAACAATCTGAAGGACAGTGATAAGACATAACCTCAGTAAGCCAAAGACGGATCTAAGATTCAGCATTACAGAACTTCTGTGAGATATGAGACGATGCTCATTCAGCCTGCGACTCTGTTGAGGGTGACACTATCTGCTTGCAAGTGCTGCAATAAACCTCAGAAAGACACTGACTGTGACGCTTTTGTTACAGAAATTTCCAGCACACACTCCATCACCTATTTATGTTCTATGCCCACCACAATTCATCACAGCACAGCTCTGTGGCTGTGGGGAAGAGGGGAAGAGGGGAAAGTGCTTGTTGCTTGGAGGAAGACAACTATACTGCGCTGAGCTGTGAAGCCCTGATGTTTGATTCATGGTGACAACGTTGTGCCCTGGATGTGTTCAACATATTTTTCATAGAGTTCATTTTCAGAGACGTGGAGGAACACATGCAGTTATATGCCTATTTTTTTCTTTATCATGAACATACAGTGTTCCAGGGACATTGTGATTATTATAACTTTATATCAGGTGTTGAACAGAGAGGATTTTAATCATTCTTGCAGCTCACGTGCAGATATGTGCTGGAAAAAAAAAAGATTTCCGCCACACGTGCCAATAAAAGTGTATCTACAGTAAATAATAACACACAGTGTGTTCGTCATAGAGACACAGAGGAGCGGAACCATATACAGACACATCTCATACAGGTTTTGCATTTACATTGTCAATATTCACTTTTTTTTCTAGAGCAAGTGCAACGATGAAAAAGCTTAAATGAAGAAATCGCAACGACAAAAAAAGAAACAACCAATAGATCAGTAAATCCAGTAAAGCCAGAGCAAATCTGTTGCACTGGGAGTGTGTGGCTGACAGAGGTCAGCTTGGCCCTTAGTGCCAGGCGTCTGTGGGGTAAACATCTCATTAGAGCCGGGGGAAGGGTATGCGTGTGTGTCTTTGTGTGTGTTTGGGGGCGGAGGGGCACCTGATATGTCTGTGGGCGTATACATCACCTGAATGATTCCAGCACACCGAGACTGGACAGTATAAATGTAAACAGGTGTTGGTGAGCAGGCATTAGAGCAGGACACACCTAAACTGTCTCAACTGACTGTGAACAAGAAAGACACAGACGGAGAGGAGGGAAGAGCGAGCTGGATTTTGCCATTGATCAATCTCGGATGTGCATCAGAGTACTTTGCTTTAAATCAGAGGTGAGTTTGAAATCTTAAAGTTCACTTTCATGTATATTTCATTTCAGCTGTAACACATTATTGAATATGGTGAGCATGAAAATATTGCAGTGAGTATTTCTGATGCATAGGATAGTCACTGTGACTGTTTTCTAAAATAAATAAGTAATGAATAAAGGAAAGGGTCTGCAAATGAATTGATCCCTTCGATTTCCTTTATGCTTAATTAGCTAATAAAGCTGGTTTGTACCTTACTGAGAAAGGAAAACTTTGACTAGAAATAAAGCATTAAGGCTCATTAGAGACTTATACCAATAATCTCCCTTTAAAATCCAAAGTATTGCCTAACCCCTGTTGTAGCTGCTATTATGTAACAGTCACAAGCCACTTTTAATATTCTAATAATGAAAGTGGATATTCATTAACTGATGTTAGGATGAGCCTGAAATATCTGCAACATTAGAATCAAAAGAAGTACTGTGGGCAGGTTGTAAAAAGTAGTAAAATCAAATATTGATCATCTGTGGATCTCAGGTGCAATTAATGCAACAGAGACAGCACCATTACTTCACCATTTGGCTATTGGTTTACTTGTTTCTGCTCCGATATACCAAAGATAATTTGAGTGTGAAAGTAGTGGTGTTATGTTAAACTAGACAAGTTAGGCTATCTATTGGTATCAACCATTTTGGCATAGCTTCTTGTGAAGACAGTTAAGTAACGCTACAAATTTAGGCTAGATTCTGGTTAAGGAACAATTGGCGTGACCATTTTCAAAGGAGCCACTTGAACTCTTGCCTCAAGATATCTGAATGCAAATGCGTTCTCTCGTTCTCACGATTCTCCTCTAAACTCGAGAAGTAGAAGTCCTAGTAAGTGTTTTGTTCCTTACAACCAATGTACCCCTTCAAATTAAAGCTGTATAATTGTCTTTTTAAGAAAATGACATTGGACATTGAATCACCAAACATGCATAGATACATAAACACATTAAAACAGGACTGCTGTGGATTGGGGCGTCGGTGACTTAGCGGTAGAGCAGACGCCCCATGTACAAGGCTGTTGCCGCAGCGGCCCAGGTTCGACTCCAGCCTGTGGCCCTTTGCTGCATGTCACTCCCTCTCTCTCTCCCCCTTTCACACTTGTCTGTCTTGTCCATTAAAAGCTAAAATGCCCCCAAAAATATCTTTAAAAAAAAGGATTGTTGTGGATCTCAAAATGTTCAGTGTGTTGGTATATGCACAACAGATAATTTGTGACATTAATTGTAAAATAAGGAACCAAAGTATATCAGAATGCGATTCCTTACCTCTCATACTGACATAGTTTTCAGCTAACCTGAAATACAGTTATGGCTTTTGGTTTTGGTGTGCCACCCAAAGATTGTCAGTCACCCCATCTGGCCACCCCTATGAAAAATTCTGCTTTGAGCTAGTCTATTTTGACTGTGACATGTTCTTTGTTCTTTGTTCTTTATTAAGATCCCCATTAGCTGCAGTACTACTACAGCTATTCTTCCTGGGGTCCGACAATTCTAAATACAATCAGAAAACATAAAAAACATTATAGGCAAAATTAAACAGAAAACGAAGTGATCTTTACACTCCCCCCCCCCAAAAAAAAATAGAAATAAAACTAAATAAGAGCAAAGTGAGCTAACACTTCCTCACATGTGTCTCATCCTTTCTCGATTATACAAACTATATCCAGTACAGTGTTTTTATCTAATACATTCTGCAAATCATTATACATTATATATCCATTCTTCATTATGAAATATACCATATACCATATCCCAATCCCTATACAATGTACATTATATAAGGATGTACAATATACAAACACACCATATATATTAAATGATACATTACATCGTATATACTATATGTATTCATACATATACACACATTACATCCATCTACACTATATATCATGTCATCCATACATATCTACTTATACCATACTACAATATCATATACACACACATACATATATATATATATATACACATGTGCACACATACACATACCCACATATATATACATATACACATACACATTTAACAAACAACATACACTTTCCCTGTCTGCATTATTCTACCATATCTATCATCTTTTATATATATGTATACACATACACACATGTATATGCATACACACATACATAAATGCACTATTCCTACTGTAATAGATGCAATTTTATTAATTTTTTTAATGGTTTTATGTTAGTGGTGAGTTTGATATGTTTAGGCAATGAATTCCATTCTTTCATACCTCTATACAGAACAGTTTGTTTGACTGCATTTGATCTTGCTTTAGGTATTGTAAAATTTCCTACAGCTGCATGCCTGGTGATGTATTTGTGATTTTCTGCACTGAAAGAAAGGTTTTTAAACAAAATAAAAGGTGTTTTTAAAACAGATTTATTTCTAATAACAATAATCAGTGAGTATAACAGCCTGTCTTTGACCAACAACCAGTTAAGCTTCTTGTGCATTGAGATGATATTTGTCCGGTAGTCACATTTGAGTATTGTGCGGGCAGCTCTGTTCTGTATACGTTGTAGTTTGTTTAACATGTCTCCAGGGGCATTTGACCAAACTGCTGGGCAATAGTCAAGATATGATAATATTAATGATTGAATTGCTGTTTTCAGGATGTTTGGGGTCATAAAAACTGCATGTCTCCTCATAATTGATATGCCTCTCCCCATCTTTACAATCATATTATTGATGTGTTTTTTCCATGATAATTTACTATCTACTGTCACTCCCAGAAGTTTGGTCTCATGTACCTGGTGTACAACGATATCATTAATTTCAATATTTAATACAGGATTATTATCTATATTATAACTTGACCCTACAATCATGCAGTTAGTTTTCGATATATTCAAGACCAGTTTGTTTGCTTTAACCCATTCCGCCACACCTTTTAGTTCCTTATTTATAATAATTTCTAATCCATTATTAGTTGGTGCTGATGTGTAGTTGAATCATCTGCATACATCACTACGTTAGTTTTATCTAGTACATACGGTAAATCATTTGTGAAAATACTGAATAATAACGGACCAAGGCAACTCCCTTGGGGTACTCCACATATCGTGGTTCTGGTTCCTGAATAGCTGCCATTAAAAAACACTGTTTGTGTCCTGTTTGATAGATAGCTGTGAAACCAAGTAAGTGCAGACTGCTCAAATCCATAGCAGGACAGTTTTTCTAGTAGTAAATGATGATCAATTATATCGAAAGCGGCTGAGAAATCTAGAAATACAACACCAACCATATTTTTCTTTTCAATTTCTCTAAGCCAATCATCAGACATGCTAGTCAGTGCCGTTGCCATGGAGTGAGCCTTTCTGTATGCATGTTGAGAGTTGCAAATTATGTTATTAGTAAATATCAACCTCAGAAAGAAATGGCTCAATACAGTTAGTCAATGAGTAGCATTAAAGGCACATTTAAAATGTCTGTGTAAGGGAAAAATCAAAGTCAAAGTCAAATAGAGCAGAACATTTATCACAAGGACCCTTTGCATACACAGTACAGTCATTGCTAGTCTTTGATTGACTTATTAAAAGTACACTGTGATTTTAACTGTGATTATTTTTATGGTTGAAGTGCTTTGACTCTGAGTCATGACAGTTAATCCCTTTTTGAGTTAAAGCTGTGAGTCCACTACATTATGAACACTCACAGGAGCCCTACTTTCTTCCCATTTGTCAGTTCCACTCCCAAAGTTGTTTTCTGATGCAAAGCAATAATTTAGGGCACCTTGTCAAACATACAATTAAAATACTAAATACCTGAAATTATTTCAGCACGTATCTTGTTACGGTTTGAAAACATGCTGACCTAATGATTAGGTGTGGAATGACTAGGTTTGTTTCCAAAATGATCAAAGCTTGCTAACACGCAACACAGTGCGATTATCAGATTTCTTTTTGGCAAAATTGCTGGATGTGAGGTTTCAGGAGTTGAAAACAAAAACATAAACTCGCTGCACTGATCGTTTTGTACTACTTCACACTCACTAACAAGCACGCCATGATCCAAATGGGTAGTTTGCATGACTTGTCAAGAACAGAGGCCATACTTATTTGGAAACCTCTGTAAAGCCAATACTGCCAGTTACCATCCATCAAGCACTGGAGTTATGAGAATTCAGAGCTTGTATAAAGTCAAAAATTGTTATGTTATGTGTGAGCAGCTGGCCCTCTGGTATGGCTTTGCCCAAATTATTTTAATGCCACATTTATTTTTGCGGCATTGAAACCTTGCAAACAAAGCGGATCCTTGTGTTGAGACACTTGCACGGGACCAAAATGATTTAGTTTATTTGGAGCACTTGTGTGTTACACTTCATTGGAAACTTTTTTTTCTCTCATTAACTTCAAGTCTCACTGCAGTGCTGCAGCCATACAGGATTATAGCCTTTCAGTGAGGATTAAAGCTGCAGTGGGACAGAGCTGCTTGGAACATGTGAGACTGTACATGCGCAGTCCGCAGTGACAGTCAGCTAAGTAACCACAGGAAGGAGAGAAAACATTTGGAGCAGGAAAACAGGAAACACAGTGTAGAGATGGAGGACATGCTTACTGGAAATTAGCTGTCTTGATACTAAAAATTACCCCAAATTAAATAATTGAACAACTTTAATGTTGTTGCATATACACCACCAACAGCGCTTGGACATCATTTGTCCTCAGAACAATATGTGCTTGCATATTCCCCTTTTTACACCTCCTTTTCAGCATCAGACTGCCAATGTCATCTTGACATTTTGCTGTTTGATTGTGGTGAATTAAAGTCTTTAAGGATGATTGATAGTTTGAGAGGTCCTGTGACTGGCTGACTGGTTAAATGGGACGGCGACTGTGGTAAAAAGCCTTGTCAAGTATGATTGTTATCAGCATTTTTGCCTCTGATTTCTCTTGCAGATCTATAAATAGGCATTTTGTGCCATTGTTTTGACTGGAAAAATTTAGTGGGGTCCCATGTGTGGTGTCAGATCTGCAAGGTCAGCTCTGAGTAGACTGTTATTGCTTTTAAGAAGTAGTGTATAGTAGCTGTTTGTAGTTTCACACAGCTTAATGACAAGTTTTCTGCTCTGTTGTCACATGTTGTTCCTTTTTTATTGTCTTACAGGTTGTGAGCTTGTAGAAAATGTTTGGATATCTGCACAAACGTATGCAGGACTATCTGGTGGAGCGAAAAAGCCGCAGGACCAGGCTAGTGACCAAAGATGGCCGCTGCAACATTGAATACGGAAACATCAAGTACAGCAAACACTTATCCTTCTTGGCTGACTTCTGGACCACCTTCGTAGAGATCCGGTGGCGTTTTGTCCTCTTCATCTTCATCACCTCTTTCACCCTAAGCTGGTTCATTTTTGGCCTGCTGTGGTATTGGATTGCCCGCAGTAATGGAGACCTGACGTGGCAAAACCCTTCAGATGACCACCTTTCATGTGTTGATAACGTCGTAGGACTGACCACAGCATTTCTCTACTCCCTCGAAACCCAGACAACTATTGGGTATGGTGGACGAGCGCTCACCCCTCTCTGCCCAGGTGCTGTGGCCCTTCTCATCATCCAATCCCTCCTTGGAGCCATCATCAACTGCTTCATGTGTGGAGTCATCCTGTCAAAAATTTCTCTACCCAAAAAGAGGGCTAAGACCATCACATTCAGTGACATGGCTGTCATCAGCCCCAAAAATGGCTCACTTGCCCTGTCAATCAGAGTGGCCAACCTGCGCAAGACCCTGATGATTGGAAGCCAGATCTATGGCAAGCTGCTGAGGACAACAAACACACCTGACGGGGAGACAATCATCATGGACCAGGTGAACATTGACTTCATGGTGGATAATGGGAAGGACAACCTCTTCTTCGTGTGTCCTCTAACGCTCTACCACGTCATCGACAAGAGCAGCCCTTTCTTTGAGATGGCAGTGGACACGCTCCACAAGCAAGAGTTTGAGCTGGTCGTCTTCCTGGATGGCACCGCAGAGTCCACCAGCTCTTCCTGCCAAGTCCGGACATCCTTTATTCCTCAGGAGATCATGTGGGGCTACAACTTCTTGCCTATCATCTCCAGAAGCAAAGAGGGCAAGTACAGAGTAGATTTCTCCAACTTCTCAAAGGTGGTGCCAGTGGCCACTGCACACTGTGCCTACTGTTTCCACAACATCAAGGGTCATCATCATCACTCAAGAGATGGACGTGACAACCACGGTTTTGAGGTGATCGATATCAGTGACCCTCCCAATGTCACCAAGATGTGAGATCATTGGTACATTGTAATGAACAGTAGAAACTGAGACTGGTAGAGGCGTATGTCTCTCATTGACAAAGTCTTTAATGGACAAACAGGTGCTGGAGGCAGGTGGGGTTACCTAATGGCAGACAGCGCATTGTGTAGCATTTAAATATGAAGTAAAGAAAACCTACTTATTTGTTATTCTATTGTATTTAACACAGATAAAACAGTCTGTGGGTCAGGACACTTATTGTGAGCAATTTGTATGTAAAACCACACCTGCCACTGTGCTGACGAGAATAAAACCTGTTTTCTAAAGGGAGGTCAGGTCATGCAAGATGGTGAGGCTAAAATTCAACAACAGAAACAGAAAGTTTTCCCAATCACTCACACATGCACACATGGGTTGTAGGTACATATGTGCCTTTGCTTTTAAATGAAGATGAGTGGTTCTAATTTACCTCTGGCTTTGCACATCAGGTTTACTAAGAGGCAGAAAAAACGAAGCAAATGTATTGTCCTGTGTATAAATCTTGCAGTTACTTGGAACCAGTGTTGAGGGCCATGCTTTAGTCATGGGTGAAAAAAAAGATTAAGAGGTTCATTAAATAATTCATGCTGTTATAGGCTGCTGTACAAAAAGAGACACTTGGACTTGAACAATTAGTATGCTTAACTATTCAGACACCGAGGCACTAGCAAAGAGTTGGGCTCAGGGGCCACTCTCTTCAAACACTGGATGATGCAGTTGTGGTTTTCTTCTTGAGTGAGGACATTGTGAGAGAACAAAGCTCTCAGGAAACACTTAAATTATGGCTGCATGCAGCACTGACTATAGTATGGAAATCAATTCTCTTTGTTAGGTCTTTTTTGTATTTGATCTCAGGGGAAAAATACACTGAAATAAAGGCTATTTTTGCATTCACAAAATGTCTGTGTCACCTCATTATTCTCCACCTTAACCAAGCCCGAATGTCGTATAAGGACTGTGATCAAAAAGGTCAAAGCGCCATAATGACAGGTGCCAACCCCTATCACAGCTCTTCATCTGTAAACAAAGTGAAGTTTTGACAGCAAACAGGGATCCAAACACAACAGAGTGGAAGTGCTTTGGAGATAAGCACTGTTGCTTGCTGCCCAGTATTTTGCCTGCAGGTTCTGAACATGAAACCAGAACTCTCCATTTGAAGAAATAACAGCACATACTGTACGCTAGCATGGAGCTTTAACAGGTTTTGTTAAGGCTGACCTCCCGCTATGACCTCTCTGATGAATTACATATGCTTATGTGTGTGTGTCTGCACCCAGGGATGTTACTGTGGCAAGTGACGCAGGGATAGGGTGAGAATTATTGAGAAATATGTGAAATGACTAAGCAGCATAAAGCTGATACATGCCTCACAGACATATTCAGATTTTTTTTAAAAAAAGTATGTAACTGTCCCCTTATGGCTGTTCACTGAGTCTGTGATGCATATTTTTGTCCACATGGTTCATGCAAAGTAGAGCCCTTTGCAAAGCTGTAGCTGTATGCGTACCCACTGGTTGTTAAATTACCAACACCCATCATTTGAAACGTACAAAGAGAGACTTAAATGACGCAAAGAAACAAACACTGAGGAGACTTTCAAATACATACACTACTCTAAAGTAATTTTACACTCAACTCCCTCACGCATGGCTTGCAGCCTTGTATGATCTCCTGATTTAAACCAGTTTATCTCTGTTTTTTTTTATTATGGCAAAAAGAGAGCCTGTAAAAGCGGTGCAACTTCCTGACCCTCTTATCCCTTCCACCCTTGTCTTCCCACTGGAAATGATAATTTGAATTAAATTAAATTAAACTCAGTTGCAAGTTTCTCATGTATAGCCAGCTACAACTAACACAGTCTAATTCTGTCATCATTAATATGCTATAATTGGGGTGGGAAAAAATAATTGCTCCAAGTATAGCACAATATAATTCATCAGCGCCACAAACTCCAGCCTTCGATGATCATAAAGTTAAATAAAGAATTAAAAATAAAAAAGAACATTACACCCCTCATGAAGGTTTGATTTATTGCAGTATATTGTTGCATTAGACTGCATTAGGCGTACCTAATAAACCAGCAACTGAGTGTATGCTCTCTTAATTGGACACAACATTTCTGTAGTACCTTGTCATGGTTAGTTTGTGCATAAATTTGAATATATTCCAATCTGATAACACACCTTTCCAGGATGATTAAGATTAAGTTGCCTAAACTGTGACAGCCTCTTAATGTCTCAGTAAAACACATGTGACTCCTGGTGAAAAGGCACATTTCAGCATCAGTAAACAATAAAAAAAGTAAGATTGTTTTGTTAGAATTAATGCACATTTTGTTTTGATGCAGATACAAATACAACTGCCTTAAACGAGGAGGGGCAGAAGAGCTGTTTTCTACCTGCAGGTATAAATATTTCCAGCTAAATGCAAGCTATGCACAAAAGTATGTGTAATTAACAAATGTAACTTATACCCTTTGGAAATGTGTAGTAATCTGTCACAAAGTTTAGGCACAAGAAATTCCAAACCTTGACACAGTGGAGACAAGTATCATGCACAATGTGCAGGTCACTATCATGAGTGTACTACTTTGGTACATCTGGCTTCTCAAAATGCCTAGAAAAAAAGAGCGACTGTGTTTTTTTCATCTGGTGAAGCCACAGGCATGGCTTCTAACCGAGACGCGCTCATTTTACCCACAATAAATAAGAAGACTGTTTCTCTGTGTTGTTTTGGAGCCACAGGCAGGCAATGAAAGATGACTTGAGAGGTAAAAACATTTATTTTGTCACATTTTCCTATACAAAAGCCCTTTTTCAAAAGGTATTACTTCATACATTGCAGGAATGACAATAATAATAATACACTGGTTAATTGTAAAATTATACACAATATATATATCTATATATATATATTTGATATCCAAAATACATTGCATATACGAAGTAGCACAGATCCCTTTTCATTGATAATGCTTGTGAAACAGTTAAGGGTACAATAGAATAATTTCTTTATGCTACAAATTACAAGTTCCCTTTTTATTGTTCTTTTAAAGCTATAAACTTTCAGGAGAAGCTGGTTGTGGATATTAATACTGTTTGTATTGTTTTGCCTAAAATACCTGAAATTATTTTATGCACAGGAAAAGCTATCAATTTCAGGGTTATTTGGCATAAAACATGATTCGCGATGGAAGAGATCCATCGTAATCACATGTTGCATATAGAATAAAGGAATCCCCTGGCTGTGGATTATGATTCAAGCAGGCATTTGTGGTTTTGGGAATACAAAGAAAATACCTTGTGCACATAAAGGCACTTAGGCACTTATTCAGAAATAATAACAATAACAAGAAAACAAAAAAAATGTTAAAATGTATTGCCCAAATGTACAGATATAAAAACGCTTAAAATGCTGAACAAACTACTTAGCAGAAATGGACTTAAAAGGTTTGCATTTTTGACCGAGGTCAACTCGTATTAATTCTCTTGACTTTTTATACTGTGTCACATATGAAAATAACTCTGCATAATTTATACAGTAAGTTGCTTTAATGCCTAGTTGACTGATGCTTATAAAATAATAAAAAATAGGTCTGACAAACGCACAGCGTTTGCGAATCTGAGGATTTCTTTGTTTCATCTCGTCATACTTTATTGGTTTTGTTCTCTGATAAACTACTCAGTTCCAAGTAATTTATTTTCAAGTGTCCATTTTCAGTTACTCTAAAGGAATACTTTTGCTATGAACAGCTTTGAACACCTGAAGACGGATATGTTTTGACATGATACTGTTACACGATGACGAAATCCTGACTTGAGATTCATGTGCATTTTGCTGGGCTTCAGATCAGTGAGAAACTAACATTCAAACACACATGCTGCTCTCAAACTAGGATCCAGCCCTTGTGAAATGCAACTTAACTGTCTATCAACATGACCTACTGCTAAGTCACTTCTCTGTGCTGACCTATATGGTCCTGACTGGCCTACAAAGAGGAAGGAGACACTGTGGCAGTCGTTATTGACAGAGTGCACTTCAAAATCAAAAATTGTCAGATTTATGGTAAAGCATGGAGATGGTGGTTACGTAAATTTGTATGCATTTTAAAATGTAATTCTGTTTTGTGTATAATGAATAGGAAACATATGGTATAAAACAGCAGTTAAGGCACTTTGAGGGTCAGGCTCCTCATTATGCTGTGTACTAAAACTGGATACACTGTAAGGCACTTTGGATAAAAATAAACATCCAAGCAACATACAGTCTTATGGTGTAGGTATCATCTACATCATCACATCTGCAAATAAAAAAGGTACTGTCGTGTTTTCGACACAGACGTGTGCAGCAACCATGGTGTTTAAAATAAAGATTTTTTTTCATTAAACAAAATGAAAACATCTGACAAATTTTGACTTTGCTGCAGGGTATCCCTTTTTTACGGGTGTTTCACAAACCAGACGACATTCACATTAATACTGACATGGTCGAGCAACAAAACATCTGGAAATGGCATGGCTGAAAGGCAACAACATGGCAAACATTTAATAGCCTAGTGTGTGGCCCCCTGAAAACATCTGACCTGGGTTGAATTATTGCTGCAAATTACTTCAATTACATCTTGACTCAGCTTCCCCAGCACAGTCGAGTCAACTGTACACGTTGCCCATCTTGAACCCCCGCACGCAACACACAGAAAGCATTTTGAGTAACTGAGTTGACCCAGGTCAGCAAAACATACAGCGCTTCCTTCTCCGGCATTTAACTCTTCTCTAGCCTTCCAGTTTGGAGGATAAATAAAATTGTGAATGGCATATTCCAGTTGCCAAATTTCATTCAGTGCTGAGAAAAGTCCATCTCTTTGAGAGCTCCTCCTTGTCCAGCGAATTCCAGAAGACTCTCCACACACACATAAAAAGATGCAGATGGACAGACAAGCAGACAGACACAGTGGAAATACGAGGCTAGTGGTGGGAATAAGAAACCCCAGCAAGGCCGTAGACAAGCAGAAAAGGCAGATGCTTTAAAGGGTAATGTACATAATGTACTGAGGAGGATGTAGATTGAGACCCATAAATAATAGGCCCATGTCTGGTATTGTAGCATGGTGAAGAGGGAGACAGACTTGAGTTGTTCTCCTGCCCTGCTTTGGTTTGGGGAGATTTTGGAAAGGACACTTGTAGGTGCAGCTTTCTGGGAGGATGGGAAAGAGAAAGGCACAGGAAACTCACGTCCAAAAAGCATAAACAGTTGCTAGTCTGGTAAAGGTAAGTAGTATTCCATTATGGACCGTAGCATCCAGTTGTTTATAGATTCTTACAAAAAACAAAAACAAAATCTCCTTCAAATTTATCATCCTTCATATAGGAGCAAAATTTCTTCAGAGTACAAATGCCTCTGTCAACTCAGTCTTCATCGGTTCGGCGTCTTTGGGAGTGCAGGTCAGCAAATTTGGACTTTATTGTGGGAGTAGGGAGGTTTTAAAGGGTGGTGGATGGTCAGAGTAGGGTGTTTAATAGTAACTACCCAGGTGGGACGGCACATGGGTGTTAGGGTGGCGGGGAACATTTGGGTTAGGGTAGATGCCTGCAGTGGGCGAGCTCCAGTACGGAGCGGTGGGTCCAAAGAAATTGGAGGAGGTGACGGGCATTGACGGTGGGTGCGGGGATACAAAGTTGACCTTCTGCTGGTGGGCGTGGTAGGAAGGCACATAGGCTAGGTCCGAAGGGTACTTATACATGGAGGACTCAGTGGGGTGCGGCTGCAGTGCCTGAGCGATGCCGTGGAAGTCGAACTTGTAGGCGTAGCGCTTGCCGTGCACCTTGGTCATGATATTTTTGTCATAGTAATAGCGCAGCGCACGGCTCAGCTT